CTCTTGGGGAAGTTCGGAATGGCAAAACAAGAAAATGCAAGAGGAACCCCATTTATATAGTGGCAGTTTCATCATTGGGCGCAAAAAACGAAACAGCGCATTTAATGCACACGACATCCTAAGCCGGGGAAAGCGGCTCGAGGCAATGATAAAGCATTTGTGGTTGTTGGGAAACCCTTCGTCTCCTTACGACGCGTGCCCTCGGTGTCAGAAGATCGAAGGCTGGGGGGTAGTTAATGGGACTTTTCTGAAAATACTCCATGATGAATACACGTGTCCTCGGTATTTACCAAAACACTATTGCTAAGATCAAGCACCATCGGCGCACAAAGGTCCTCGCCCCCGAGGTACTCGTCATATAGGATCATGACATTCAGTATGAGTTACAACCAACACGTAGCCTCGGTCTGATATGGTACCTCCCTCGGTATACCTCCCTCGGTTCCGAGATGGCCTTTCCTCGGTGCCGAGAGGTACCCCGTCCTGGACGCTTCCTCTACTCCAGGATAAGCTATTGACGTACAGGTCATTAGCCTAGGCTAATCTAGGCTATTCATCATGACCTCGTCTTACACAATTAGTGTCAGAACGTACTGGAATGCAGGGGCCACAGCCAATGGGGGATGGACACGTGGCATATGATATCACATCGAAGACAGAGAAACCGCATGCCGTTGCTGACACGCGACTTGGAAAAGCAAACGATTAATTATACCATTCCCTTGACGAGACCGCATTCAATGCGGTAAGGCTCGAAAATGAAAGGCAATAAATGCTCCTAATACAAAGCATTTATTGCATCCTCCCCGAGAGGAGTACATTGTACCGTCGGCATCCCGATGACACAGCATTGATTGTTCGGGACCCCGAGCAGTTAAGAAGATAAGACATTCCTCATTAGAATCAGTGCGCACACTGCCTGTACCTAATGATCACCTACTGACTACACTGATAGCAATCATGAGCTTTTGAGGTATAAATACTCCTTGCAAAAGGCAAGACGGGTATGCAACAAAAAACTCTTTACTACAATACACACTCAGTGTTTTCTCCTTCCTCTCTCTTTCTCAAAGACTGACTAGATCGTCGGAGGGGATACGCCGAAAAACACTCTGGCGCCCTTCTAACTTGTTCTTTTTCGTTCCAGGAACCTCTTTCAGCCTTACTGGATCGTTCTTCCGCTCCCCCAGGGTCTCCCGTTGCCGTTCCAGGTTACCACCGGACCTCGCAGGCTGTTCCAAGCAGCGTGGTTGGTCACTCAACTGGCTCACTCGAGTTCACCAAGGGAGAGATCTATTCTCGTTTTTTATATTGTGCAGGATCTTGCACGCACAACAGGATTTGACTTTGGTGTGGAAGGAGATATGTACCGAAATTTATAATTTTTTCCAGTTTAAAATAAAAAATATGTATTAATTTAAATATTTTAGGATTAATCTCAAAAAATACTAACTTTTGATGTCAAATTATACTTTTAAAAAGGTAATTTATAACTCTTTGAGATTTTTTGGGCTCTGTGTCATATAAGTTAGGATCGATTCTAACACACCCCACAATTGATCCCACCAAGAAAGTTGTTACGCACACATCCCAAGTTGAATTTCAAAGCATTGGAAGTTATTATGGGGGACCTCATTAATCTGAACGATTCCATGAAGTCAGTCTTTAGTAACCAAGACTTTCGAATCCATATTGTTTTGTATAAAAGAGTGACCAAATAAAATCAAGTTTTGCTCATAAGTTGAATTAAGTTGTGCTTTTGTAGAAACAATGTTGATTTTAGAAGTAAGTTAGAAATCTTGATAAATTAAGTCAAAAGATCATGGTAATTTGAAAAAAATCTCTTTTTAACCCATAATTACATGCTATCTCTCACTTAAGTGTATTCATATTATCAAAATTAGTGCCATAAATTCCAGTCAAACAATTTGAAGGGCTGATAATTCTATAGATTTTTCTACATTCGCATTTCGTCAAACACTTGGACATCAATTTATGTCTTCAAGGCATTAAAAGTTATTATGGGACCTCATTAATCTCTACAATTCCATGAAGTCTTTAGTAACCAAGACTTTTATGTGCTAGTAATAACCCTCCAGGGGACTGATCTTCTCTGCCATCTGCCATGGACTATTTGATTAGAGTTTTTTTAGTCTTAGTATAACAGTTTAAACTTGAAGGATCTAAGTATTATACGTTTACAAACTTCAAGGAGTTTGAATGTAATTTACTAACAGGTATATTATCGAACATTTGATGGCAGAGGTCTAAGTGTTGTACCCGTACAAACCTGAAGGGTTTGTGTGTAATATTTCAAACTTCAAAAGATCTAAATGATTAAGTGACAAACCTCAAGAAATACGATTATAATTCACCATAAAATGTATTAACTTCTCAAATTAAACCTAAAAATTAAGTCTAATAAAATTATATAAAAATATAATTTGAGATTCCAAATTTTTTGTCCCATTTGGGCCCTAGGCAATGAACTTAATGACCGGCACTGGAATGACTTTTAGGGTCGTGGAAGACTTATTATTTTGCATTGAAGTGTTGGATAAAGAATTTCCCGTGGAAGGCACGATATTAAGTATGCAAAGAGTTAATGATGAAAGCGATTTGAACGAACGCAACTTGACTCGTGGAGGCTGTTAATCAAACAGAGTTACTCGGGCTTGGCCTGAGTTCGGTTCGGGTTCGGCTCGTTCATACTCGATTCGTTTTCTAAACAAGTCTGAACTTGAACAAATTTTTAAGCTCGTTTAGAAAATAAATCATACAAGTTTGGCTTAAACTCGACAAGCTCGGCTCATTTATCTGCAAATACTCAGACTCGATTCGGGTTCAGCTCGTTCAGGCTCGGCTCGTTTCCTAAACGAGTCAAACTTGAACAATTTTTAAAGTTCGATTAAGAAACAATCTTTTCAAACTCAGTTCGAACTCCTTCGACGAACAGCCCTATGTGAAAGACACGAGTCATGTTCTTAAAAAATTAAATTATATTTTAACCCTTGAGCTATTACTTTTATTTTATTTTATTTTATACCCTCAATTATACAATTTTTCACATTATATTCCTAAAGTATTAATTTTATTTCATATTACTCCAATAAATAAATATTGTCAATTTTTTAATAGTAAATACGCATGTGAATGATTTGTACTGTCAATAAGCAACTGTTTATTGCACATATGCATGTCAAAAATTAAGAAAAATACCTATCCATAAACTCCAAATTTTCTTCTTCTGGTCGACCTTCTTTTTCTTCCTAACATCAATTTGTTTGCAAAAAGAGGTAAAATAAAGTAGTACTAGACACTTAGCGGGAAACTCTTTGGGATTTTCCTCCCTCCTTTGACAAATTTTCAAATTTACCGTTATCTATTGGAGTAATATGAAATAAAATTGATATTTTAGAATATAATGTGAGAAATTTTATAAGTGAGTGTAAAAAATATATAATTACTTTTCTAAAGAGTTACAAAATTTCAAAAAAAATAAATAAAACAACAAAAATGTCTTGAGAGCGTCACATTATCAAAATAATGTTCGAGACAATTTGTGTATCTCAATTAATTGCTTTTGTGATTTATAGGAAAGCGTGTGATTCATACAAAAACGTGTCATTCACACTAAATTAGAAAATTAAAAAGAGATAAATCCGACATAATTTTACCCTAAAAACTCAGAATTTAAGAGTTTACAACTTATTTTTATCTCCACTTTGAGTTGACGTTGTCAGCCTTGGCTGATAATGGTCTCTCGGCCTTTGTGTGCAACATATTCCGAGGATTAAACTAGCGTGCGCGCACAGAGACACACAAATTCACACACAATGTGCATATTCCAAAGACTCAAAGCTGACCACGCGTTTTGTAGTGTAGAAATTTTTGGTCTGGCTACACGGGGAGAAAAAGTGTGTTAATTTGTATGTCATATCATTATTATTCGTGTCATATTTATGTTAAGATTTACAAAAAAAAAATATTTATTAGTTTAAATTAGTTTAAAGATCAAGCACCATCGGCGCACAAAGGTCCTCGCCCCCGAGGTACCCGTCATATAGGATCATGCATTCAGTATGTTTTACAACCGACACGTGGCCTCGGTCTGATATGGTACCTCGGTCGGCATACCTCCCTCGGTGCCGAGAGGTACCCCGTTCTGGACGCTTCCTCTACTCCAAGATAAGCTATTGACGTACAGGTCATTAGCCTAGGCAATTCTAGGCTATTCATCATGACCTCGTCTTACACAATTAGTGTCAGAACGTACTGGAATACAGGGTCACAGCCAATAAGGGATGGACGCGTGGCTTATGATATCACATCGAAGACAGAGAAACCGCATGCCGTTGCTGACACGCGACTTGGGAAAGCAAACTATTAATTACATCATTCCCTTGATGAGACCGCATTCAATGCGGTAAGGCTCGAAAATGAAAGGCAATAAATGCTCCTAATACAGAGCATTTATTGCATCCTCCCCGAGAGGAGTACATTGTACCGTCGGCATCCCGATGACCCAGCATTGATTGCTCGGGACCCCGAGCAGTTAATAAGAGAAGACATTCCTCATCAGAATCAGTGCGCACACTGCTTGTACCTAATGATCATCTACTGACTACACTGACAGCAATCATGAGTTTTTGAGGTATAAATACTCCTTGCAAAAGGCAAGACAGATATGCAACAAAAAACTCTTTACTACAATACTCACTCAGTGTTTTCTCCTTCCTCTCTCTTTCTAAAAGACTAACTAGATCGTCGGAGGGGATACGCCGAAAAACACTCCGACGCCCTTCTAACTTGTTCTTCTTTGTTCCAGGAACCTCTTTCAGCCTTACTAGATCGTTCTTCCGTTCCCCCAGGGTCTCCCATTGTCGTTCCACGTTACCACCGGACCTCGCAGACAGTTCCAAGCAGCGTGTTTGGTCACTCAACCGGTTCACTCGAGTTCACCAAGGGAGAGATTTGTTCTCATTTTTTATATTGTGCAGGATCTTGCACGCACAAGGAGTATGCATCAGAAGTGAAAATCATCAGTCGACTGAGGCATAAGAATTTGGTTCAGCTAATTGGTTGGTGCCATGAGAAAAGAGAACTTCTACTTGTTTATGAATTCATGCCCAATGGTAGCTTAGATACTCATCTTTTCGAAGAAAAAAGCTTGTTGGCATCTGCACTATTCTATCTACACGAGGAGTGGGAACAATGTGTGGTGCATAGAGATATAAAATCAAGCAATGTTATGTTAGATTCGAATTTCAATGCAAAATTCAGGGATTTTGGATTAGCTAGGATGATTGATCTTGAAAAAGGATCTCAGACGACTGTTCTGGCAGGGACTATGGGCTACATGGATCCTGAATGTATCATTACAGGCCAGTCTAGTAAGAAGTTAGATGCATACAATTTTAGAATTGTATCATTGGAATTAGCATGTGGAAGAAAACCCATAGATCACAATGCAACAGAAGGTCAGATAAAAATGGTTGAGTGGGTTTGGAACCTTTATAGAATGGGTAAGCTCCTTGAAGCAGTTGACTCGAAACTATCTACAGATTTTGATGAGCAAGAAATAGAACAATTGATGATTGTGGGACTTTGGTGTGCTCACCCAGATCCCAATATCCTGCCTTCAATCATGCAAGCGATTCATGTCCTGAATTTTGAAGCTCCAGTGCCAACGTATTTGTCTCCATCAGATTATACACCCACTTCTTCACAACTATTATCCTATGGCACTACTGTATCTGAGAGAAGCTGGAACCAATCTTCGAGTTATAGTTACAACACTGATTCCTCAAAGTTCACCACATCTTTTGCAACTTGTTCGTCATCTGCATCACTTTTGCTCACACAATAGTCTTAATTTTCCAGGTATTTGAGATATTTAATATTCCATCTTCATCGTATCAAACATTAAATCAACTCTCAATTTTTCAATGTTGTCAATGTTAGTGTAATTCTTATGTTTGTAATGTAATGAATTTTAATGTTAGATGATTTATTATTTGTAATGCGTCAAACAATATGAAAAATTCCACTGCTATGCATATTTTTCGTCCATGACTCCAGTACTATACTGTTCTTGTAAGATGTGGCGCAAACAAGTTGTAAAAAATAGCACATTATCTCAACATTTCCATATATGATTAGAATGTGTGAATCAAGAAGACCCAAAAAGAGAATATAGAATCAAGCATGGCCAGGTGGTAGAAGATGTACAAATTTATAGCTCGCAGTTGGGTGATTGCCAATTTGGACATGTCTGTAGAGATTGGTGCAAGGGTGCCCTTGGCCCGGAAAGGTATACAATTGATGTTGGTATTAGGTTGGACACTGATCCTCGTGCTTCTCTACCATTTTTGTCAGTCACAAGGGTTAAGTCCTGGTATATTTTTCAGATACGTTGTATGAAAGGAGTCAAAATCTTACCACGAAAATGATTCACATGCTCCATGCATTGGTTTTCACCTTCGTTCTCTTAGAGAGAAGAGTCTCCACCATGGGGAGCATGAGCAGGGGCTAAAGAATGAGGTATCTCATAGTAGGTCTCCCCATGTGGGGCGCCCAAGGGAGCTCCCAAAGGTGGGGCGTCTGGATAGGGAGCGCCTAGGTGAAGAGCTCCTTGATGACCAGGGAGTGGAACTCTCCTAGCTTGAGGTCTAGGTTGCGCCCCTCTTTGTTGCCCGAGAATTAATTGCAGAATTTGCTAATTCTAGGCCACGAGCTGTTGCATGGTCTCCAGCATCTGCTACGCATTTAGGGTGGGATTGGCAGGCGGAGGAGCAATGTCCTCCTCTCATGGTGGATTGTTTTCAAGGGGATTCATTGATCTGACGGTGACGGCGACAAATTTAACACATAAAGTGTTATGTGAGAATTTTGTCGTTTTTCACAGACAGCGCCAAACTGATGATGCACAAATTGGTTTGCACACCACTAATCAGGTAAATATAATAAAATACAATACAATAAGTAGATGGAGAGAGGAAACAAGGTTTATAGTGGTTCGGTCAACAAGACCTATGTTCACTTTCAATGGCTAAGTTCGCCGGAAAGTTTATTAGCTCCGGTGTGTTTGAAGAACAGAGAATTACAAGAGAGAAGAAATGAACTTGATTTTTTTGAGATGCCCCCTAGGTGTTGGGGGAACTTACAATTTATAGAAGCCTGCGTAGTAATTGAGTAGCTTGACGGTTATAATGGACTGGAGGCAACTTAATAGTTGATGACCTCTCCTCTTTTTGGCGACTTCTCCTCTCCCTGAAGACTTCTCCTCTTCCTCAACGGGCAAGGGTATAGCTTCTGGATGCTCCCGTAGCTCCCTGATGGGCTTGACCGTCTTAGACCTCATAGGACTTGCTTGGTCTTTTATAAGCTTGGACTTTTTCCTATGGATTGGGTCATTTGGGCTTCACCCATCAGATATGTCATCCACTGTAATTGACAACCTCCATCTAGCCGTTTTTAATGTGCCTTTAACTATTATCTACATTCCTTTAATTGGTTAATCGAATCTAATTTTTCTCTCGTTTCTGTAATGGTGATGCTGACGTCAGTTAACCTGGTTGAGCTTGCTTGAATCTTCATTGATTGCGCCTTCTCTAATGCCCCTATGCGCCACTCCTCCTTTCTTTCTTTCCTTTCTCAAGTGGCGTAGCTATAAGATTACTTCATTGAAACCTCGATATTATGAATTTGAATTATCGAAAAGGCTCTCGAGGGTAAGACTATTGCATTTAACAGTATCAATAATGATTGATACTCCAGTTTTATGCAACCTTTCCTTTAGGTTTTATATCATTGTGAAAGGCTTTTCCATGTCCTCCTTCTCTTGGTTATGATTTTATTATGATTTTATTAGTTTTACCACAAAACAGAATGTGAAATTCAACAAAGTCAATGTAGGACACAGGACAGGAACTTAAGTTGGCTGGGTTGGATTACACATCCCAGAGCATAATCCATAAACTTCATCAAGGTTAACATCAACTTGACCCGGTTGCCCAAAATCTAATGCAACATCAACAGAATATAGAAATGGATCACATGAAACCTGATAAGAATGAATCCGGCTACCGGTATCGGAAAAATTTACCGTTCCTCCTTTTTTTTCATCTTATGAAAACGTGTGAATTTTTCTTAGTTTATAATTTCATTTACGTTCTAATGTTAATGATCAACGATTACAAATAAATAATTACAAAATATACTGCTCCTTCGATATGATTTTAAAAAATTATTTTTCAATATCATAGTCTTCTCTTTTTTAAAGACAGAACTAAGAACAAATATATAATTGTTGTAGAAGATGAAAAACCAACACAGTCAAAGTCATTTATAAACTCCAGAGGTGGTTTGCTGTGGTTGAAATCAGAACTCATAAACAATCAAGTCACCTACTTATCACTTAAAGTTGAAAATATTAGTCAGTAAGGATTTTATCAATTCCTCTTAATGGAAAAGGATACCATTAATGCATTTTACACTATTTATTTTTCAATACCTACCATCCACCACCATTGTGTTGCCATCGACACCACCACCACCGCCACCACCGCCGCCGCCGCCGCCACCACCACCACCACCACCATTGTGTCGTCACCACCACCACTAACATTGTGCCACCGCTACCACCACCATCACCGCCACCACTACCATTATGCGATTACAATCATTATGTCACCGTCGTCACCACTACTATTGTGCCGCTACCATCATTACAATATGGAGATATGCATAACAATTTTTTTGAATATTCAATGTTTCGGTATCTTTATATTCTGAAAGAATGTATCTAAAATCACTCTCAATCCTCCATTTGATCCATCTTAATTTTCTAGATTTTAAGTTTTAAAATTAATTTAAATCTTACGTGGTGTCTTATTATTGGTTTGTTTAACCTCTATTAGATCTAGTCTCAAGTGTCTGTTTTGAAATTTTCATTTTTGAAACAACATTTTGAAGTAACATCTCCCCAATCTGAAGTATCAAATTCTTATCACTTCTCTTTCCCTAGTTCCCATTTCCCATTTAAATCCGGATGGCACCTTATCCTTGCACCAAGGGAGCATTTTTTTTTTTTTTTGGGATGATGGAAATGAATGGATAAAGATGGCGTTGAGCCGTTGAAGTCTTCTATTGCATCTCTAATATTGACTCAATTTTTTAGAGGACGCTACGAGCCTACGAGTGGATGGCTTCGGGTTTGTATCATTAAGTAAAGTTTTTCCCTTCTTTTTTCAACTTGAAAACTTATTTGGGTTGTCCTGCAATTTAGTATTTATTTGGCAGACAATGGGTGATCTAAACTTGGTTTTTGATGTGTAATTGGCGTGTAATTACTAATTACCTCATGTTTAATGTTTTGCGTAATTCTTTCTTCAATTTTTTTTTCCTCAACAATGTTTAGTTTAGGTTTATTCTGTGATTGATATTTGTCACCAAGGAAGGATGCAAGAAGAATTTTGGTTTTGATTTTCTTATCTATAATTGGGGCTCATGCTGTAGTTTGATCCTCAATATATCAATTTAATTCTTAAAGTATTGCATTCGTGTTTAAATGGTATCTGTACAGACGATCCGTTAAGTTTTTGATAATAATGACTTATTTTATTATTTTAAACGCTATCATGTGATTATTTCTATTGAAAATTAAACGAAACTATGCAAGGACAATTTAAACACAAATTATATATTTTAGAGATCAAATTAATACATTGAATATCAAACTGACAAAACGAGCATATTTCGGAAACCAAAAATACTATTAACCATTTTTTTTAACATAAAATTCGGGAACTAAACCCTTCAACGTGAAGGCTGGACTGCATTCTCGGCCTGAACTTGGCTCGGCAACTTAGATCCTTCAACGTGGATTTCATCAAACCCAGGGGGGACGGGTTTCGCAGGGGGCAAACTGGCTTTCCAAAGAAGAAGACACTTCTACCCCTTAAACCCATTTCCACTTTGAGTATCTGGAATACGAGAAGGTGTTGAAGCTCTTCTTCATACCCGTCTGGAAATGGCCGGGCAAAGAGCCTCTGATGCACTGCAACAACGGCGATCTCTTCCTTCCGCTGTCGTTTTCTTTGTCGACGTTGAGTCATCGAGAGAGAGAGAGAGATGTAAGAAGACATAAAGAAGAGAGAGAGAAACAGAGGTATGAGTGGATTCGGTGAGTTGCGTGCAATAGGGGTTGAATTTTTTACGTGAAAAGAATGGACTTGACTACGATGCTCAAGAAAATTTTTTGGTATCATACGTTTAATTTTTATTTTTTAATGAATGTTTTTTATAATTTTTGTGCGTTATTTTATAATAAAAATTATTATTTCGTAGGTAATTTATCATATTTATAGATATTTATAACATATTTGTAGATTTTTTTTTTTGTTATAGTAAGAGTCAGTTTACTTTATGAATTGTATGGTGATGATTTTGGTAATATATGTAATGATTTTTGCTTGAACCCATGTAACTTTAAATTCTGATTTTATGATTGGCTAATTTTTTTTGTTATGTTGATAATGTAATAGACCTATGTGATGATTCATACTTTTTTGTGCATTGCACTGGTTGGAACTAATTTTATAAGATAACCTACCAACACTCGATGTTATTTTTTAAATATTTTAAGTGTTTTTCTGATTGAATGTTGATTTGTTGAGACGAGTTTACTTGATTTAATCTATTAGTTTTGTGTTTAGTTTGATTGTATTTCAAATATGAGGGCAAATATAATATATTTAGTATTCATACTTGGTCGTGCATTTGCACGGGATCATACTAGTTGATAAAGTAAGGATGATTAGCTAGGTTAGCCTGTAAAGATGAAATGTTTGAGTAATTTTAAGCAACATTTTTCAAAGATTGCCAGATTCTTGGGTGGACCAAGAAATTTTTGGCGACCAACCACTTTGAAAGAAGATGGAGAAGATATTTTCTCTCTCTAGTTTCAGACATTCTAAAATTTTTTGTCCAACATGCTCTTATTTCGAGTCAAGAGTTAGATTAATATACAGTTCCAATTCCACTGATTGAGGCGGTCGAAAAGCCTGGGAGATTGAAGACCAAGAAGTGAATTATTTATACCAAACATCCTTCTTACGATTAGATTCAATCTTATGGTCCTTCCAGAAAGAAAAAAGAATTTCACATATTTCTGTTTCCTTGGGTGTATAGACTTTTTGGGGGTAAATTACAAATTTCCCCCCTTAAATTTGGGTCTTTTGCAATCAACTCCCTTAGGTTTCTGTCAATAAATTACCCCTCAAAATTTCAAGAGGTGTGAATTGACTGAAAAATTCTAAGGAAATATAAAATATCATTACACCCTCCTAGTCTACATTGTTTGCCCGTATGTTTTCCTGCAATACTCATTACATTCTCAAAAATTAAATCTTTAAAAAAATTATATAAAAACATAAAAGATATATACAATACATCATCCAAAATCAACACACATCACCCATCATCGTCAACCAACTCCAACTTGAACAGCCAAAGCAAAAGAGTTGGTTTCATCAACTTTTTCAGTGAACTCCCTCATCCAAAATAATGCATAGCAGCCACCACCTAAGCATTATCACCTACATTTGCACCTCCACAGCAAATCTGATAAACCAAACAAATGAACAAACAACCCAGCTCAGAACACCTAAAAACCTTCACATCCCTTTACAACCCACAACCAACTACCACCAAGAACCAACCCAACACCAAGAAAAAGAACACACGTGCAACCCAAAACCACATCCACCTTCACCTCCAACGACAATTCACAAAACCAAAACTATCCTATCCACACACAACCAAGCATAGGCCAGAGCAGAATTCGAAGCAAATATTTGTGGCAGTAACCAAGCCATTTGTGGCGTAATTCCTTTAAGGGTTAATAGTATTTTTAGTACCAGAATTTGTGTATGTGTATGTGGGTGTGGGTGTGTGTGTGTGTGTGAGAGAGAGAGAGAGAGATGGGGTTACAGCGGTTGTGTTGTTGGAGGTTAGAGGGAGGGTACAGGGAGATGGGGAATGAGGTTGCACCACGGAGAAAATAGGAGAAGAAAAGGGGGGTCCCCGACAGTTGTTGTGGGTCAAGTGGGGGAGTACAGAACTTTTTTAAAATGGGGAAAGAAAATTTGACAAGGGATACTTTTGTCTTTTAAACAAATTGGAGACCACGTGAGTACCACATGACTATTTTGTCACTTTTAACGGCCGAAAATTAACGATGGGAGTTAATTGAAAGTTTAACAAATTTAAAGGGGGTCATTTGTCAAAATTGAAACCTGAGAGACTTAATTAAAAAACACCCAAAATTGAAGTGGCAATTAGTAATTTACTCTGAGTACGGTAAATTAATGAATGACTTTTAGGGTCGTGGAAGACTTCTTATTTTGCATTAAAGTGTTGGATAATAAATTTATCGTGGAAGGCACCATATTAGGTATGCGAGAGTTAATGATGAAAGCGATTTGAACGAACGCAATTTGACTCGTGGAAGACAGGAGTACGGTAAATTAATATACTCTGAGTACGGTAAATTAATTAATGACTTTTAGGGTCGTGGAAGACTTACTGTTTTGCATTAAAGTGTTGGATAATGACTTTACCGTGGAAGGCACGATATTAGGTATGCGAGAGTTAATGATGAAAGCGACTTGAACGAACGCAATTTGACTCGTGGAGGCTGTTAATCAAATAGGGCTATTCGGGCTTGGCTTTGGTATGACTCGGGTTTGACTCGTTCAGATTCGATTCGTTTTTTAAACATATCTGAACTTGAATAAATTTTTAAGCTCGTTTAAAAAATAAGTCCTACAAGCTTGACTTAAACTCGACAAGCTCGGCTTGTTTATGTGTAAATACTCGGACTCGACTCAAGTTCGACTCAGATTCAGCTCGTTCAGGCTCAGCTCGTTTCTTAAACGAGCCGAATTTGAACAATTTTTAAAAATCGATTAAGAAACAAGTTTTTCAAGATCAGGTTGAACTCGTTCGACGAACAACCCTACGTGGAAGACACGAGTCATATTCTTAAAAAATTAAATTATATTTTAACCCTTGAGTTATTACTTTTATTTTATTTTATACCCTCAATTATACTCGTACAAACCTGAAGGATTTGTGTGTAATATTTTAAACGTCAAAGAGTCTAAATAATTAAGTGATAAATCTTAAGAAATATGAGTATAATTCACCATAAAATGTATTAGTTTCTCAAATTAAACCTACAAATTAAGTCTAATAAAATTGTATAAAAATATAATTTGAGGTTCCAAAATTTTTGTCCCATTTGGGGCCCTAGGCAATGAAATTAATGGAAAAACACAGTCAAAAGTTATTTTCTTAGAAAAGTATTTCCCAAAGACTTGATGAACACACGTCAATATTAACAAAATGTCTAACACGTGATACTAATTTCAAACAACTTGGAAAAACAGAGTCAAAAGTTATTTAATTTCATAGAAAAGTATTTCCCAATATTAATTCTGCACTTGCTAGTTATATTTTTATCCAACAAACCTCAAACTTCCCAACCCAAGTTCACCTTTGAGCCATGGCTGCAACTGTAAGTAGCTCTTGGAATCTCTCTTTTTTCTTCTTTCTCACAATCCCTTTTGCTTCTGCCCTGCACTTCAACCTCCCCTCTATCGGAACTGGGGATGGTAAGTCCATAAAGCTCATCGGAGATGCTTATTGTGCGGGCTTGATCCTGCACGATATATATATATAATATTGGGAACAGATCTCTCCCCTGGTGAACTTTGGGTGAGCCGGTTGAGTGGCCAAACACACTGCTCGAAACAGCCTACCAGGAACGGTAAAGGAAGATCCTGGGAAAGGAGGAACGATCCTGTACGTGCAAAGGTATTTCCTGGGACAAAAGAGAACAAGTTAGAAGGGCGCCGGAGTGTTTTTCGGCGTATCCCCTCCGACGATCTAGTCAGTCTTTGAATGAGAGAGAGAGAGAAAGGAGAAAACACTGAGAAGGATATTTCGTAGTGGTGAGTTTGTGATTGCATACCCGCTTTGCCTTTTGGGTGGGGTATTTATACCTTAGAAGCTCATGATTGCTGTCAGTGTGGTCAGTAGGTGATTATCAGGCACAGGTAGCGTGTGTAATCATTTGATGAGGAATGTCATCTCTAATTGACTGTTCGGGGTCCCGAGCAATTAATGCTGAGTTGTCGGGACGCCGACGGTACAATATGCTCCTTTCGGGAAGGATGCAATAAATGCTCTGTAATAGGGGCATTTATTACCTCTCATATCCGAACCTTACCGCATTGAATGCGGTCTCGTCAACAGAAGGGTGCAATTAATTGTTTGCTTTCCCAAGTCGCGTGCCAGCAGCGGCATGCGGTTTGTCTGCTTCGGATGTGACATTATTTGCCACGCGTCCATCCCTTATTGGCTGTTATGTCGGTATTCCAGAACGTTCTGACATTACTTGTGTAAGAAGAGGTCATGATGAATAGTCCAGACTGGCATAGGCTGATGTCCAGTACGTCAGTAGCTTTATCCGGGAATAGAGGAAGCGTTCAGGATGGAGTGACCCTCGGCACCGAGGACAGGATCTCCTCGGGGACCGAGGGTGGTATGTTCCCCCGAGGTACACGGTGACCAAGGGCACGTGTTTGTTGTATAATACACCGAAATGTGTGATCCTATATGAGAGGTACCTCGGGGGTAAAGGACGTTCTTTGCCGATGGTGCTTACATCCGGGCAACACTGTTCCCAAAAACCCCGAGGACACGTGTCTTCATCATAGGCTTTTCAGAAGAGTCCCATCAACTGCCCCCCAGCCTTCGATCTTCTGACACCGAGGACACGCGTTGTCAGGAGACGAAGGGTTTTTCCAACTGTCATCCGTCCTTCATTATGGCCTCGAGCAGCTTTCCCCGTCTTGGGATGTCGTGCGCATTAAATGCGCTGTTTTTGGTTCTCCCGCCCAATGATGACAGTTTCCCCCCTATATAAAGGGGGTTCTTCTCCGGTTTCTATCGTTTTGCCATTCCGATCTCTAACCCAGAATACGCCTTTTCCGATCTGCTCGCCGGAGTTTTTTGTTTCCTCAGCCATCGTCGACAGCATCTTCTTTGAAAACCTCAGTCAGTAAAAACCCATTGTTGACTCCTGATCCTTCC